TGGCCACTCAGGGATCCCAGAAAACATCTCACTCAAAGTATTTCTATAGGAAATGGATTTTCCATTTCCCAATCCTTGGGAACTCCTGTTCAGCTCACGATGAGGTCCCAGCAGTCCCCATACAGCACCTGCCTGCAAGGGCCACGCTCACACTTTGTTGTGAGCTGACACTGTCTTGAAAGTATGAGATTCGCCTCGTAGCATGGCCCTGCCAGCAGCAGCCCTGGTGGAGGTGCCGTCCCTAGCCCACTCAGAAAACTGGCTTAAACTGTGCCAGCAAAATCCTGCCTGTGCCCGTGGCTGCATCTCCAAAGCGGTGATGCTGAATCACTGCTTCCTTAAAAACAGACAAGCACTGATGAGTGAGGCTGTTTGCTCTCCCAAGGTCCAGATCACTGTATCAGTGAACATCATTGCCTGCCGACCTCTGGGCGAGCTAGGATGTGCCTGGCTGGAAAGCATCCTCCCAAGACCCTGCCAGCTCCCCTGTCTTGCGTGGTCACCCAGATGTTCTGGCCCATCCAGGCTCTCTGCTGCTGGTGATGTCTCGGCTACCAGGAGGGAGCAGGGGCATCTGGGCAGGACACTCCCGGTCTGCCCGGGCCTGGACGCAGCTGTGCCCTGCTCAGCAGCCTGCCCACCATAGCACCACTGTGCACACCCTGCCAGACCCTGTGCTACTGGGATCACGGATGCCTTTCTTTCCTCACTCTCCAGAAACCTCCTCCTCCTCCCTGAAGAGGAGGTCTCTTTCCCAGGTCAGCTTTCCCATACCAATGATTCTTGTCTGATTCAAATTTCTTTTTACTATCAACTTCCCTATTCTCCCACTTTCTCTTTGATTTGTATTTACTTGTATGGTACAGGGCTGCCAGGAAAGATGGAGGTGCTTTTGCCCAGTGGGTGCCAGGCCCGGCCCAGCTCCAGAGGTGCTGTGCTGCAAGGACTGGGGCTGAGCCACACCGAGCAGCCCTCTGAGAGCAGGATTGGCCCAGGCAGCACCGAGCACAGCCAGGGCAGCGCCGCGCTGGGGGTATGGAGGCAGTGGGAGCACACACAGGGATGTTACCTCCGTGCAAGATGGAGGTGCTTTTGCCCAGTGGGTGCCAGGCCCGGCCCAGCTCCAGAGGTGCTGTGCTGCAAGGACTGGGGCTGAGCCACACCGAGCAGCCCTCTGAGAGCAGGATTGGCCCAGGCAGCACCGAGCACAGCCAGGGCAGCGCCGCGCTGGGGGTATGGAGGCAGTGGGAGCACACACAGGGATGTTACCTCCGTGCCCAGGGCAGAGAAAGAGGCACTGTCCAGTGCTGGAGCCAGAGCAGCCGGTGGCCATGCCCTGGTGCAAGGCGGCCGCTGCC